TGAGGAGAATCCCTGCATGCAAAGGAGCACATCGGTGACACAGGTGACCCCCACCCCTCGCACGCCCCAGGGCAGACTAAGCCCTGCCCCGGAACAGCATGCCGGCTGCCCAAACCTTGGGAGGCGAACCTAGATGAATAAGTAATTCCAGCCACGGGTGAAACTCTTCCTACTTCCCTTGCGCGGGCTGCAGGGGTAAATCTTGTCCGCCTCTGAGTCTCCTGGATCCAGTCTTCTGCTCTCTCCCGGGTCAACTAGCACGAAAGTGTCGCGTGTATGACTCGCTCAGTTCGCTTGGTTTAGGGCTGATGACTTTGCGGGTCCTTGCTGACATCCTCCGTACCCCACACGAGAGTACCTAACGCAGGGCGAGCATGACCTAGCGCCCGCGGCCGGTCCTGGCACAGCCCCGTCACAAGCCGCACTTTGATGCAGCCAGAGTTATTTTGGTTCTTTACAGGCTGCGCTCCTCGGGGTGAAGCTCCTCAAGGCCTCAGCACGCTGCACAGCATCTGCCTACATCCAGAGGCTTGAAATACCCCAGTGCAGATTGAGGCTTGCTGCCTCGGGTAACGCGGAACGATTGATTGCCCCAGTCCCTCCTTGAGGGTTCCCCTGCATGCAGCACTGGTGCCAGTAAACGCCGGGCACTTACTATTTCTTCCTCGATCTGGGAGAAGCCAGGCCACGCTCGGCAACTCGGAGGCAGGAAGGTGGGGAGCAGCATGAAGCTCAGTTGCCCGGCCCAGCCTCCTCTGCGCGATCTGATCCACCACGCCAGCTGGCACCCATGAACACCCTCCAGGGGCCCATCCGGCAGTACGACCTGCCTGAACGCGCAAGACCCTGCCAACATAACAAGCACTGAGGCCTGCCGCTGCCCAGCTCTGCATCCATGAAAAGGGCTTTGCGGGAGCCTCGCCTGAAAAGCGCCCATTTCAGAGGAGCGGGGTGGGGGGTGGGTTCGAGGGATGCGAGTGCGCCAAGTGTGATGAGGGTCTGTTCAGCGTTAGGTGTTTTTGTTAGGGTGTGTTTGTTTGTCTCTTTGCACAGGACTGAGGAATGCTGGATCCAGGCTGGGCTAACTATTCATAGAAAGCTGCGGCCGGGCAGCGAGAGGTACCAGCCAGGGTCTGTTGCAAGAACCGGCTAACGCTCTCCTGTTCAATTTTGAGCCGAGGGAGACGAATAGGAGCGGTGTGTGGCGCCGGCAGAGCAGAGAAGGAGCAGGCGAGTCAGGAAGTGCACCTGCGCAGGTCTTCAGGGGTCTGTCTGGCCGCCCACGAGCCGGGGGCAGCTGCCCCCGTGGAGGGTGTACGCGAGGGCTCTCCAATGCAGCGCTGTAAGAGAGTGGTGGAGAGGCGGGTGGGGCTAGGAGATGGTGCGAGGGTGGCGTCCAGACTATGTATGGTCGTAGCAGGCGACAGGATCTGCTGAGAAGTATCTGCCAGGCCCCTGATGCTGCGGCGGGATCGACGGGTGGCTGTGGAAGGCGTGCTAAGGCTGCAGAGTCGGCATGCCCGTGGCCTGATTCTCAGGCCTTTCCCGCCAAGCCGGAGACAGGACAGTGCCCTGCACAGGCAGGCCTCGCTGCTCTGCTGACTGCAGCAGTGACATGGCCCTTGGTGCTCCCAAGCGATCCCAGGTCACCGTTGACCGGCGACGGCCCCGAGGTACCTGCAGCCCGTCAGTGCCCAGTGGGTGACGGTGCGCTGCGGGTTGCGCCAGGGCAGTGGGCTCCTGACCCAGCAAAGCCACCAAAGGGTTCTTCTCATCCCAGAAGACCATGAAGCCGACTGCAGCGAAAGGTTGTGGGAGGGAAGCGATTCTAGAGATACCGACTCCAGAGTCGGGAGACAGGCCTCTGGAGATTGCAAAGAATGTTCCATGGGTTAACTCGGCACCCGATGTCTTCAAGATGCGTGGAGCGAGCAGTGGAGGCCCTGCCCCGCTTCTGAGAGATCCCTGATCCGGTCACGGGGAAGCTCGGGGCCTCCTCACGTGCTCCGACAGCAGAGCGGCTCCCTTCGCCGCTGGCGGTACGACGGCTTCTGCCCGCCACGGGAGGGCGGCCACAGGGGGCGCTCCTCAGAGATTGGGCAAACCACGCGGGTTCGGACGCGCATTCCCACGGTCACAAGCAAGCCGCAGCACGGGAGCCAGAGACCAGGACCTGCAAAGCTCCTGTCTGTAGGTGGTCTGGTGTGTGTGGCTGGTGTGTCTGTGTTGGGTGTTTCACCAAAACAGCGCGGGCCCGTCCCCACCGCTTTTCAGGTGCTCTTAAAAAAAAAAAAAAAAAAAAAAAAAACACCTTTGGGGACAATGGAGGATGACAAATTGAGCAAGAAGCATAGAAATAATAGCAATGGCAACAGCGACTATTGAACGAGCATTTTCTACTCATCCTGCACTTCCCACGCCGCCGCTGGCGGATGGCAGGGGTGAGGTTCAGGCACGCACACCTGCCTCTTCCCACCTTGTCTTTGCGTCCCAGGCTGGGGGACAAGTGGCCTGGCTCCCGCAGACCCTGCGCTCTCTGAGAAACTTTGGAAACTCATCTGTAAGGAGGAGCCAAGAGGAAGACACAGAGGTTCTGGGTCTTTGTCGGTCCTTCCACTTCCTGCACCCCATGCTTTGCACGGACCTGGCAGGTGGTGTTGGGGAGCAGGGGGCTCACACAAGCTCACTCTCCTGCCCCATCCAGAGGAGCCCGGCCCCGGCTGCCTGCGAGGGGAAGCAGCCCCCTCCGTGCAGCTGTACCCCTGTCCCCACACAGAAGTCACTGAGCACTGCAGGGAAAGGCCCCTGCCGGCCAAGAGGAAGGAGCGGAGCAGCAGGGGAGACAGCGCCAGGGAGCGTAGCGGAAGAGGGGAGCCTCCCGCGCCTCCAAATGATGTCCATCCACACTCGGGGATTGTGCTAAGACCCCCCTCCTGTCCAAATTCCTCCCTCTTCTGGCTGGGGGACACAATCCCCTGCTTATTACCACTGCCACCAAGTGTCCTTTGTGAGAACCCAGCCCCCTCCCTTGGCAGGGGCGCCCGGGCCTGCAGAGGAGCAGCCTTAGCTAGGGCTTGAGCAGAGGCCGCTCTCTCCCTCTGTCCCTGCGTCTAAACAACATCTCCAGTTTATTCCAAGCTGCCTCCTCCCGCTCCCTGCCAGGGGCCGTCCTGAGATCCTCCCTGTGAAAGGGTTGGTTTGGGGCAGCTGTTTTGCCCCCCGGCTGCCACCCCATCGCCCAGCCTGGGGGGAGGACGCTCTATCGGCCCGTGGGGCATCCCTATCCCCCCTCCCTGGCGGCCTAGCAGACCGAGACCCGAGCCTGCGTGTCGGGTACACTGAGACCCACAGCCGGGCAGGGCCAGGCGTTCTCGGACCTAGCAGGCACTCGCTAGCAAGAGTTCACACGCGTCTGCCCTTCCCCGTGCTCCTCCTACACCCTCCCCGGCAAAAACCACCAACTGGATTACTTGAATTCTAAGCACTTTATACACATCGCTGTTTAATCCTTCAAGGATTCTCGCAGGTAGCTGTTGCTATTGTTGTTGTTATCCCCAATTTAAAGATGAGGAAATTGAGGTTTAAATAACTTACCGAGGTCACTCAGCTAGTGACAGGCAAAACCTGTTTTCTAATCAAGTCTGCCCCGTTCCAAAGTCCCCCGTCTAACTGTCTAACTGCTCTCGGCTCACCTGGCTGTGAGCAGGAGGTGATGGATGACTAAGAGGAAAGGCTACCCCCCATCTCGGGGTCTCCTTCCAGGTCGAAGCACCTGTGGGCCACCACCAGGCAGCCTCCCTTGCTCGGGAAGGACAGGAAAGGACTGAACCAGCTGCCGAGCCTCAGAGAGTCCGTCCGAGTGTGAAATCGTCGTTAACACCTAGTGACTTAGGGACAGACACACCTGGGAATAGGACCTGTGTCCAAACGCCTGATCCCGATTCCTTCCCCAGCCAGGCAGGTCACCCGTGTCATGCAGAGTCACCCATAGAGTGACGCTGCCACAGTCACTAAGTGCTCAATATCACCCCCCATGCAGCCAGAATCTAAAAGGCTGCTTCTTATCTGTCTCCTGACATAGAGGCAGTGGCCTTGCCGTGTCTCTTTCATAAATGCACCTGTGCTGGTATGTTTTTGCAGTGTTTCAAGTTGCCTCTATTCAATCTACACATCCTCCAACACCCATGGGCTTACCCTGGGGTGGAAGTTCCCAGAAGTAAGGGTGCAGTGACCCACCTTAGAGTTGCGGGACATGCCGGCTGGAAGGGCCACCTGGTCTACCCCCGGGTTGGGGGCTAAGGACACTGGGAAGGCGATGCAACCTGCCCAGGGACACCCAGCATGTCAGCGGCAGGGCTGAGACTAGAGCCCCCAGCCAGCTGCAGTGCCCAGAACCAGGTCTGCCCTTCCAGAGAGGCCCTGGGGCGTTGCTGACGGAGACCACTGCGAGGACGAGAATCACAGCGAGAAAGGGAAGGAAGGGTCTTTCCTTCTGGTGTCTGTGCTCCCAGGGAGCGGGTGGCGACTTTAGCACGGGGGTCTGCAGGGACCTGGGCTCTCCCCTCGGGCTCTGCGTCGGGAGGGAGGACACCGAGGGAAGAGGAGGGCAGCTGCAGGTGCGGGGAGCGGCAGCAGGCACAAAGGGAGCAAAGGGAGGCATGACAAAGGGCGGCGTGATTTCTCGGGTGCAATGAGGGAGGGGGCTGAGGCGGGGGTGGGGTGGCTTAGGGGCTTGGGAGGGGGCAAGAGCGCTGCCCTGAGGTGCTCCCCAAGCAGGAGGCCAGGCTGGGGCTGGAGCACAGGGTCCTGAACACCTGCCGAGCTCTCCCACCGGCGCCGTGTCTGCACCCTCACCTGGTGCAGCAGGCCAGCTGCAAGCCAGAGCTCCGCGGCTCTGCGCACCCCCAAATGCCACTTCCAAGGGCCGTACGGAGACGTGGACCCCCTTCCCCAGGCCGCAGCCCCACGGCTGAGCTCCGGCAGGACGTATGTGCACTCACCTCCATGAAGGGCACGGCCCGGCAAGAAATGTCGCCCAGCAGCCTCTGCTTGGTGATCTCATTGAAGATGACGACGGGGAGGCAGAAAAAGAGGACCAGAAAGTCCCAGAGGGCCAGGCTGGCCAGGATGGAGTTCCAAGCGCTCTTCAGGTAGTAGCTGTGCCACACTATGCACATGACCGACAGGTTGCCCACGATGCCCACGGCGAACACCACCAGGGCCAGCAGCATGACGGCGTAGGCGCCGTAGGAGCTCTCCGTCACCGGGTACAGGGGGTTCTGGATCCGCAGCCGCTGCCCCGGCGCCCCGGTCAGGTTGCCCCTCGGCTGCTGCCCGCCGCCCGGGGTGCCCCCGCCGCCCTTGTCTGGGTTGGGGCTGGTGGCCACCAAGGGCTTGGTGGGCTGCAGGCCAGCAGGGTGGATGGGCCGGGGGTACTCAGCCCACTCCTCGGGCACGTACTGCTGCACCCCCTTGGCCTCCTCATCCTCAGTGCCTCTCTTGGGTCGGCTCTGCTGCTCCCGGGCCTCAGCCCTGCGCCCGCCCGAGTGCAGAGGGGCCCCCCCAGAGCCCCCGCCGAGGCCCGCAGCCAGGACCGCGGCCAGACAGATGGCCAGGGGCCACAGCCACCCCATGGCCGCACGAGCAGGAGGCAGCTGCCCCTCGGAGCAGGTGAGGGCAGGGCGCCCAAGTGCGGGCTGGGCTGGGAGAGGAGAGGCGGCTGGCGGCTGTGTCCGCCTCCCGTCAGGCGTCTGGCATCTCCGCCCTCTGTCCAGCCCCCGGCCGGCCGGGCAGGGCCCTCTGCTGGACGCCCGGCGCTCTTTGCTGCCCCCACGCGTGTCGTCCCGCACGGCTCTCCCTCTCGGGCCCCACAGCATCCAACCGCGGGTCCTGGCAGCCACCTGCTGCAGGAGATTCGGCTGGCCGCAGGGACATGGCGAGGTGTCTGGGGCTCAGGCTCCGGGCCCCACCTGACTCTAAGGCAGCTCCTGCGTTCAAAACTGAGCAACAGAGTAAAAGGAGTAAATGGGCCCTGGGTGCTCTGCCTGGCCGGCCGGCGCACCACAGGGTCATCTAAAAAAACCACACACACACACAAAAACTGCGCAGTGACCGTCACTGTAGTTTACTGAACACGTACTGGGTCCCAGCGCGCAGCCAGTTTTCCAGTTCCCCTCACAGCAGTTCTATGGGGGAAGCGCTGTTATCACACACTTTTCAGATCCGAAATCTGAATTTTGTAGAGATCGGTCACTTGCCACATAGTGGAGGCGAGCGAAAAGCCCAAATGGGCGTGATCTTGACACCTCCTTAAAGGCGAGCTGTTGCTCACAGAAGCGGCCCAACCCCACCTCCTTCCTAACACAGCGCGGCCTCCCAGGAGAACAGCAATGCTCCAACACCACGTTAGTCTACTCTCTTAAGTTTCCTTTTATTTAGTTACTTTTTTTGAAAACAGGTCTCATCTGTTCCTCGCCCCAGGCTGGACCTGAGTGGCTGTGGGCGTCACGCCAGCTCACAGCAACCTCCAAACTCCCTGGCTCCAAGCGACCTCCTCGCCTCAGCCTCCCCGACGTAGCTGGACTCACAGGAGTGGGGCACACCATGCCCGCGCTCGATTCTTTTCTATATATTTTTTTACGTTTCCAATTAATTTCTCTTCTATTTTTTAGTAGAGACGGGGTCTGGTCTTGCTAGAGGCTGGTCTTCACGAACTCCTGACCCTCAAGCAATCCGCCCACTCACCTCCCAGAGCACTAAGAGTTTACAGGCGTCGACCACCTCGCCCGGCTCTCACTTACTTCAATTATCACCCCAGACTCAGCGAGGCACGGTCCAATTGCCCAAGGACACCAGCAGCTAGCGAGTCTGAACAGCTGGGATGCAACAAATAAGTCTGCCCTGCTCCCGCCGCTGAACTACGCTAACCACCTCCTTTTGTGCCCGTCCTAAGAATTCTAGCACCGCGGAAAGATCGCGTGAGACAGCAACCTTCCTACTTTTCAGCCAGTCGGAAACGGAAGTCAGAGCAGTGGAGTGCCCATACGACCAGGGGCTCAGCACCCATCTCTGTTTCCCGGCGGTCCTCGTGCTCCCCAGGCACGTGCCCGCCGCAGAGCAGCCCTCGCACGGGGCCCGCAACGTCGGTGAGCCCGAGTTCTCCGCCCCTTCCTTGGCACTGCCAGAAATGCCCCACACACGATCCTGCGTGCTGTAAGATAGAGAGACAACCACACCTCACGCCCGTTCCCCGCCATCACAACAAAACACTGGTCCTGCTGGGAGGCTGGGACAGCTCAGAGGCCACTAGGTGGACACAAAGACGTCCAGGAGCGATGCAAGTGGAAAGCCCAAGGAGCCCCAACAGACCCTCTCACACAACCAAGGCGCATAAAAAAGCCTACGACACATGTCACAACTCTGACCCAAAGAAGCCACTGCCTTATTTGTCGGAGCTCTCAAAAGACAAAACCGGGAAAGACGACTGAGAGCTACAGAGGGCAAGAGCACAGGGAATCGGGGATAGAGCCCAGCGATTCATCCTCCCTCGCAAGCGGAGTGCCCGGCATGGAGCGCCGCCCCCCACAAGGCTCTCACCGCACCTGGCCCTACTTCCACGCGACCACGCCGCGGGGCATCACCTATCCTCAGCGCACCAGCAAACCAAGCACGCAAAGCGAAAGCCCTCTTTCCAGCCTGGGACCCATGTCAGAAAATTCCCCCACTCTTCCTCCTGCGAACTTTCCGCCAGCTGCTGATGTACAGGATTCGGGCAGAGGGGACTGGGATTTTTTTTTTTTTTTGAGACAGATCTTCCACTGCTTGTTTCCCAGGCTCACGAGTGAGCTTGCCGTGGCGCTCAGCCCTAGCCACAGCAACTCACACTCCTGGCTCAAGCAATCCTCCTGCCACAGCCTCGAGTATTAGCTGGGACTGCAGGCATGTGCCCCCCACACCGGCTTATTTTTTTCTACTTTTTTTTTTTTTTTTTTTTTTGAGACAGAGTTCACTTTATTGCCAGCGCTAGAGTGAGTGCCTGCGTCAGGTCTAAGCTCACAGCAACCCTCAAAATTCTGGGCGCAAGCATCCTCCTGCTCAGCCTTCCAAGGCTGGGACTATAGGTCAATTCGTCACTCATGCCGGTCCCTAATTTTTTGTATATAAATACTCTAGTTTGGCCATTAATTTATTTCTATTTAGTAGTAAAAGAGCGGGGTTCTTGCTGTCTTGCCAGGCTGGTTTCGACTCCCTGACACTCCGAGCAATCCGCCCACCTCGGCCTCGCCCAGAGAGCTAGGATTGACAGGCGTCGAGTCCCCACCATGCCGGCCATTTTTCCTACTTTTTAATGAACTGGGTCTCTCGATCTTGGCTCAGCGCTGGTTCGAACTCTGGATCCAGCGGATCCTCCCCGTCTCGGCCACCAGAGTGTAGGTTTACAGGTTGGAGCACTGTGCTCCTGGCCCCGACTGTTTAACAGATTCTAGAGACCCCCTAATAGATACAGAGAGACTGAGCAGAAGGATCTCTGGAGGCAAGGTTAAGGCTTCGTGTGCTGTCGACGGGTGCCTGTGGCAGAGCGCTGAAACAACGCCTGGCAGCATAGCAATACCTGGTCTCTCTCTCTCTCTCTCCTCTCTCGTTTTTCCTTGTTTTTTTTTCTTTTTTTTTTTTCTTTCTTTTTGAGACAAGGTCTCACTATTTGTTGCACCAGGCCTAGAGTGAGTGCCCGTGGCACAGCTCTAGCTCACAGCAACTCACACTCCTTGGGCTCAAGCAATCCCTTCCCCCCCCGCCTCAGCTCCAAGTAGCTGGGATACAGGCTCGCCCACCATGCCCGGCTCATTTTTCTATCATTATTAGTTGGCCCAATTACTTTATATTTATATACAGATGGGTCTTGCTCTCGCCTCAGGCTGGTTTTCAACTCCTGACTCACAGCATCCGCCGCGCCTCCATCGGCCTCTCAGAGTGCTAAGATTTAACGGCGTGAGCCACCGTGCCCTCGGCCTTCTCCTTTTTTCTTTTTTTAAATTTAATTTATTTTTTTTTAATTTCAGTATGTTCTATGGAGGATACAGAATCAGTTAAGGTTAAGTATATTGCCCTATACTTCCCCCTCGAGTCTGAGCTTCAAGTGTGACCATCCCCCAAAAGTCATTGCCTGTCTCACTCATTTGATATACCGTACCATCCCGCCCCCGACCCACCGTTTGATTTGGTTTTGAGACAGGTCTCACTCCACCGCCCAGGTGGAGTGCAGTGGTGCCATCACAGCTCACTGCAACGTTGAACTCCTGGGATCAAGCCATCCTCCCACCTCCACTTCCCAAAGTGCTGCTGGAACTATAGGTATGAGCCACGGTGCCTGGCCAACCTCACCTCTTTAAATAATAAACATTAAATGAGCTCATCATGTAAATCACTGGAACAGTGTCTGGCACATAGTAAGCACTCTAGAAATGTTAGCTGTTGGCTAGAATTAACTCATCTAATCCTCGCAGCAACCTTATGAGGTGAGGTACTTTTATTCCCTTCATTTTACAGATTTGGAAATTGAAGCACAGAGGGGCAGAAGGCAGCCAAAAAGGCCGGGAGGGCAAATTCTGAGATAAGCTCTTCCCCATGCCAGGGGTCCAGGCCTGAACGGCGACACGGATCTGGCCTGCGGCGGGCGCAGACTGGCTCTCCCCGTGTCCGTTCCCCTCCGTGCTCCGGGCTCCTGGGCCCAGGGGCGCCTGCGTCTGCCCTGAAGGACAGGCAAGGGGCTGCTAGAGGGGACATGTGCTTCTGAAGGCTGAGGGCCCGGCTCCGCTGCTAACCAGCCCCTGACGGCAGTGGTCCCTCGGCCGCTCATTTTCCAAATATTTGTCGAGCACCTACTATGTGCCGGGCGTCATCCCGACACCCAGGAAACAGAACGAACAACGCGGCATGGCCCTGTCCTCATGAAATTCACATCCGGCGAAGGAGGCAGTCACCGAAGAAGCTAAACTTGGAATAACATAACTGTAAGTTGCGACGAAGGACACGTAGGAAATGGACAGGGAGCCATGAGGTCATGGAACCTCTCTGTCCTCCACTTTTCTCCTGGGTAAGAGGTAAGGCGCATTGCGCTGGGCCTGAGGCCTCACAAGGATGCCATGAAAATCAAATGCGGTCACTGCGAAAGCATTTTTAAAAGACAGTATCCACTTGTACGACAACGTAAGGCAGCCATGTTCGGTTGGACCGGCGGGGCGGGCAACACCTGGAAACGCATGTGGAATGCACGTTCCCGGGCCCCGTCCTGGACCCGCTAGGTCAGAAGCTCTGAGGGTGGGCCCGGCCCTCTGGGCTTAGCAAGTCCTCCCCGGGATTCCAATGAGGTTCTCCAGAGCTGGAGAAGACGTATCAGGCAGTTCATTCATTGCATTCGGATGGTGCTTCCTCTGCAGGACCTTGGGGAGGTGCTTGTAGGAGGGGACAGGGGGAGGAATACTGGACCCGGGGGGCTGCCAACCACGGCGTCACTGAACCTCTGGCGAACAAGGCCCACGTGTCAGGTCCCTGTCTGCATCCTTGGTGCCTGGCACTCCGCGGATACCTGTGCGTCAGGAAAAATAAACAAATACACAAATGGTGAGCGGAAGCAAAAATTGCTCACCGAATCCCTCCTGTCCTATGATGCCAGCATCTCTTCACTGCGGTGGGAGAGAAAGGAGCTTCTGGCTTCCTCAACAAAAGTAACACAACTTGCAGCCATCT